GATCTTTTAAATGTTTATTTCCATTAATTCTCACATCACATATAGTACATATATAATTATCACACTAGGAATCTTGTGTACAGAACATGGCAGCGTTTCTAGACCTTGCACAACACAGCTGCTCAAATGGATGGTTAAAAGAAAAAGATTATGGTATCTTTCCATATAGAGGGGCAGGAGGGAGGATGTTAATATAAAGGCAATAATCTTCAGAGCTCTTCTTTCTTGATTCAAGAACAGGCCCCCTAGTCATGATGGGGCCCCACAGAAGTGCAACCAGCAATCAGTTCTACCTCCTCTCCCTTTGACCTGTCTTTCCAATGCAGGCCGTGCTTGTCCTATCTACCATATTTTTCCGTTTATAAGACGTCCTCCCCCTTTTCTAACTACCAAATTAGAAAATATGAAAATTTGCACGCTTGCACCCCTTTGATCCTGAAGCCCTTTCATGGCTGCTTTACCCTGTGACTTCGCAAAAGGCAGGGGAAGCAGCTGCCTTCCGTGTATAAAACAAACCTCAATTTTTTTGTCTAATTATTTAAGTAAAGTGTCATTTTATACACGGAAAAATATGGTATATATCCTTTCCCCCCTGATATCAAATATGGTGTATACTTAGTAATGTATTTAGATCAGGGTCTCAAACTCAATTTACCTGGGGGCCGCTGGAGGCAGAGTCTGGGTGAGGTTGGGCCGCATCAGATTTTCTGCCAAGTGGAGCAAGAGCCTGAGGAAGCCGCCCAGGAGTTTCCTTAGCCAGCAAACAGGTGAGCTGGCTGGCAGGCTGCAGTTCTGCCTGGAGGGTGCAAGAGGCACTGTCTTGGGAGAGAGCTGGTGAGTGAGGCAAGGCTTTTTTTTACTCTTGACAGTAGAGGATGGGGGGGGTGCTTTGGGGGGGGCAGGCAAGGCGAGGGCCACAAATTATCATCTGGGGGGCCGCATATTTGAGATCCCTGTTTTAGATGTTTTGCACCACACTTTTCATTTAATTATTCTGGCCACCATCCTTTGATTAAGGCCTCCCCTACTCAAATTTTCTGGTTACAGATTGCCTTAAGGGACTTCTGCTGAGCCAATAAAGGACTACAGGTGTAAAAAGAAGAGAACCTAATGACAGGAGAAGTCAGTCATTTTCCTCTGGTTCCACCAATTCTAGGGAGTGCTAGCTAGGTATCTTTTTTTTTTTTTTTTTTTTATAGCCATAAAAAGAAGGCCAGATGCCAAACACATCTGAAACTATTAGTATTTCAAACCGGAATCTGGAAAAGTGACTTTTTTTTACAAATTCCCAGAATCTCCCAGACAACTTTGGGAGTTTTAGTCTAAAAAAGGAACTTTTTCAAACTTTGTTTAAAACTAAACAGATTTGTTTGGCGTGGACAGGGTGATTGATGCACATGCCTCATCCATTCTGATGTAAGTGAGCATAGCTTCTGTTAAATAATGTGGTTTGGAGACCAATGCGGAACACAGAAACCCCCTTAAGGGGATAAATTAGGAGCAGGAGACAAAAGGTGGCTCTATGACAGCATTACTCTTGAAGAGGATCTTAGCAACAGGACTTCGGTTGTCCTTTGTTTTCAAACTATGCCAAGAAGCCTATCTATTATCATGGACAATCATAGAGGCTGTGTGCTTCTTGATGCTTACACTCAGTCGTGAGTCGAAAATGTAGGTAAGTACCTCCCCACTGACTTACAATACTGATTGCTAAATATGAGACCTTAAGAGTAGGGTGGGCTTGATATCATGGTAGGCTAGAAAAGAATTAAGGCTGTAAGAGGGGAGGCCTTAATTGGCTTGAACTGACCTTTGCAAGTCAAGAGAAGCACTTTTTAAAGCCCTGATGAGCCTACCGATCTGCCAGTTGCTGCCCCATAGACTGCTTCTTCCTAATGTTTTTTTAATATTAGCTTTTTTACTTATTTATATTTTTAAACCTTACTATTCTTAGTATATTCTTCAGGGCTAGCACACGTATTTAACAGATTTATTTCTTAGCAAACTTATGTGTATTAAGTTGGGAGTACATCATACTCCTAATTAACTTGGGGTAGACTGATGATTTAAAACAAGGGTCCCCAACCCCTGGTCTGCGACCCAGTGCATTACTTAAGAAAGTCCATGTAGACAAATGGAAAGTATATGATTGCATACCAGGATACCAAAATACTCCACACGTCATGTACAGTGGGGTCTCTACTTAAGAACGTCCCTACTTAAGAACAATCCAACTTAAGAACAGCTCCATTTGCTAAATTTTGCTTCTACTTGAGAACAGAAATCCAAGATAAGAACAGGAAAAAAAAATTTCCTGCTCTTTTTTTAACCTTAGGTCATCTTAGGTTAAAAAAAATTCTCCCCCTAGTGGTAGAGTACGTATTAACCAGCTTTGCATTAGTTCCTATGGGAACTAATGCTTCAATGTACGAACGCACCTCTACATAACAAAAAAACAGCCAGAACGGATTAATTGGTTTTCGGTCCATTCCTATGGGAAATTTTGCTTCAACTTAAGAATGTTTCAACTTAAGAACACCATTCCAAAACGGATTAAGTTCTTAAGTAGAGGTTCCACTGTAGTTTCTATGGACGGAAAAGAGCAGATACGGATTAAATGGCTTTCAATGCATTCCTATGGGAAATGCAGATTCAACATAAGAACTTTTCAACTTAAGAACCACCTTCCAATACGGATTAAGTTCTTAAGTAGAGACCCCACTGTACCACCATCCTTTTGATACCCTACAAACATACTCAACATTGATTTGTTTGCTTGTTTTTTATGCTCATTAGAAACTGGTTGATGACATTAACAGAGTGTTGTAACTCTGTGTTTTGTGACGCAGTATTTATTGGGCCCAAACTGGTATTTCTGCTTTGCTTTGTCACCTAATGGGGGCTGAATCGATACATATCACAAAATGGATCATGTCACTTCAGCCCGTAAAAGACAACTTTTGAATGGTCTCCTCTTCTTTTTGAAAACATTGCCCTGGAAACAGGCAACTAGCATAGCATATCAGTCTGGAAAGGTCAGCACAAGCTAATTGCTTGGTATTCTGAGTTTATACGCACATGTTTATGTATATATCGTTTCTAAAGCACAAGGAGATTTTTAAAATGTCACCTCTCCACCACCTCCATCTGATGTCTGAAATGATCTACCATCAGGGACCTAAATTGTGGAATGCACTGACAGATTTGTATTTTGGATCGAGGGAGTTCTAAGTAGAATTATGAAGGTTCTCGAGAAAATTCTCAAGTGTAAACATGTATCACTGGAGACCAAGACCAAAATAATTCATAATGTGGTATTCCCAGTTACAATATATGAATGGAAAAGCTGGACAGTGAAGAAAGCTGATAGGAAGGAGTAGAATTGTTAATGTTGGGAGCCTTTGGAGATCACACATTCATAGGGTTGACATAAACGGGAAGTGACTTGGTGACACATAACAACAACAATTTTGGATTGAAATTAGGCTTCTTCCAGCTCTGCACTGTTGTTTTTCAAATTTCTCTGCATGTAGAATGTCTCATCATGGAATGAGGTTCATGTAGCAGATTCATGTTCAGAGCACCTCTTCCAACATAAAATTTGTCATTCTTAAACAAATTTGCCATTCTTAAACATTAAGGATTCTAGGATGTGGGTGATGTAGCAAGATTCACCAGTATGAAATGTAACAGTGGGGCTCCCCCTAGATGCACTTTGCAACTGAGAGACTTGACATGGGTATCCCAACTAGGTCCAACAAAACATCACTTTTTCTTTGATTGAATGGATATGCCACATGCAAGATTTCATATTACATGTACATAACCTCCCCCCAAAAGTAGAAATAGTATACCACAGAAGCATACACAAATGTATCCCCCCTTCTTCATTTACAGTAGACTGGCCTTCTTGCTAAGAGCTGGAGTCCAGAAAAGTAACTTTCTCCAGATTCTGCATCAGGGAAAATTAGCAGTAACTGCCATACAAGTCTGCTTGTCTTCTCCAAACTAGAACTACTTATTAGTTTTGTATCATCAGAGCATTTTAAATTTAGACACAGCATGCAACACCTCAGTATCCAACAGAATGGTCTTGTCTGCCACCAATAACTGCATACAAAAGTGGCAACCCCATTGTTGCTTCTCCCCAGTGGACCATGAGGGGAGGAGTCTCCCTTTCTAACTGAAAGAATATTAGGTACTTTTGCTTCAGTGTAATGAAGAAAATACATTACACCCAACTGCTTATTTTAGTATCTGGACTAAAATGTAACCAATTTTTTAAAAAAAGGACATTTCAATGCTTGAAGATATAACTTAACATAATTTAAAATAATGTAATACGATTTACAAAAGGAAAAAAACCTGCTAAAAGACTATTGGCTGCTGTTTAGGAAACAGATGGGTATTCCTCCTTGTTGGGAATTGGCAGGTGGGGTGCCCCCCTTGTCAAAGGGATGGTGTGAAACACGTTTGTGAGGGAGATTGGATTTACTCTGCTGTCGACCTATATGCAGCAATGATCTACCGGCAGATCCAAATATCAAGGAAGTCAAAAGGAAAAGTAATTCCTACCACCACCACCACCACCAAACAGGTAATTTGTGAATGCAATTAGCTGCCATAAACTATGGGGACAGCTATTCGATCAGAAAGTTTTAAAAGGGGGTGGGTGGGCTAGTTCATGGATGCTAGTAGATTTAGCCTAGTCACAAGCGACCCAGCGGCTGTCTGTGCCTGAATACTAACTGCTGGAGTGGCGAAGCAACCATGGAGGAGGCCATTGACTTTACATAGATGCATATGAGGCGTGTGTGGGAGGGGGACTTCCCAAATGCATCAGATGGACCATGAGGAAAAACAGGCCACGGGCTTCAGTAAACAGCAGGGTGGGGTTGGCTTTTGTTTTGTTTTTTTCATATCTTGTGGTTAGGCCTGAGATTCTGGACTCTTCTGCAATATACCTTTGGTGATCGTGATAGTAGTACAGTATTTAAAAAAAATAAATAGCAAAACTGAAGCAGACCTGTAATGTGATGGGAGAAGCAGATAATTTTCCTCTGCAGTTTCTTTAAATGGTTGTATGGCTGTTTTGCATGTGCGCAACTGGCCAACGGGGAATTTAAAAGCCACGTTTCTAGACAAAATATACAGCCAGGCTCTGAAGAGCCTGCAACTCCATTACTGCAGAGTGGAAAGCATTTCATATACAGTATGGCTTCTCTATTTTCGTGTAGTCAAAAGGTATAGAGGGTTATGAAATGCACAACAATTATTACAATTCCATAAGTGTATCTGAACCTGCAGTAGGTTCTCCATATAATGCTGTAATTTGTTCTTCTTACTTGATTCTCTGAACTAATGTGCAGCCTCTGGATCACTGCCACATGGCAGTTTGCACCATTACAACTAATTAAGCCTTCTGGGACATTAAATAAAATAATGCACCCACAGAACCATAGCATCGTAGAGCTGGAATATCATCCTATGCAGAGCTAGAGTGTCATCCGACAGAATGCTCTTTGAGAAAAGGGAAATGTTGCCCACCTTTTCTTCAGACAAAATGGCAGTTCATGATTCGGCAATGGCTGGGAGCAGGCAAGCCCTCATCTTTGCTTCTTTCCATGCACTTCGGTATTCTGAAAGCCAGTCCAAATTTGCAGCCGGTTGATCACTATGGAAGAACTGCACATGGTGTTCTCTGCTACTTGCTTCTCTCTTGCTATCTGGAATATAAATGGAAGATTTTACCTTCTCTCTTTCAGAACAGGTTGCTGTCTTCACTGTTGGTTGCCCTCTTTGTGATCTCATAACCTTGGCACCAAGTGCGGCTTCTTTGGGTGGATGCAGCCATATGGATTTGCCATTAACAATAAGGAGTTCATTTTCTTTCTGATTTGGATTGCTTTTCAGAGTTTGCATCTTGTCTTGGTTTTTCAGGTTTCTTAGCTCTTGGCCACCATCTTCCTTGGGCGGTGGTCTCGGGGAGGGAATTCTTGGAAAGAGGCTGACAAGATCGCGTTTCTCTATTACTTTTTCTTGAGGTGTGCCCAGACTGATGCCATGAAAGTTGTGCTTTGCGTCATCATTATCAGTGTTCTCATAGCCCTTAGGACATCTCCACCTATGATTTTTCTGAGTGTCTGTATCCAATGGGTCCATGTTTGAGCTGGAGTAAGTTTTGATGCAATCAAGAACGAAGCACTGTCTCTCTAACAATAGCATGTTAGGAAGGGTGTATCTGGAGACCATTTTTGGTGTTTCAGAGAATTTTAAGACCCTGTAATTATTGTGTAGCTTTCTAGATTTGTTGATGTCTTGGATTTTATGCTTATTTTCTGGTGGTACCAGGAACGCAGGCCTTGCCTGCTGGTAGACAGATTGAAGGTAGTTTTCTTCACCAGAACAAGAATCCGAACTCAGATAAACATTCCCAAAACTTTTTGTGTTGCTTGTTATGTCTTCTAGCACTTCCTCAAAAGCTTCACTGATGGTTGGAAGAGGCTTAGCTAAGTTCAGTCTTATCCGAGGAGCCATTTCTGTAAGAAGCATGCACAGTATCATTAATGAGTGTGAATGGATTGCAAAAAATGTCACTGGGGCACCATAGTTTCTAATAATCAACTTAGCATCACAAATTCTGAAGCCCATATTGGGCTAATTAGAAGGCCACAGAAAGTTTTGAAATCTCCAGAGCTGTTCAGTGGATAAGATTTTAGAAAAAGCAAGCTGAGGGGGTACAATAGACAACAAATAGAAGATTGACTCAGTGTTGCTGTCTTGGTGCCTGCATGTTCAGAAACTGAAGATGGAAGGTAGTTAGAGAACTCCGAATGATCATAATAATCATGTGCTGTCAAATCAGTTCTGACTCACGGCAACCCTTTGCAGGGTTTTCCAGGTAAAAAATTCTCAGAAGTTTACCGTTCCCTTTTTCTGGGCATCCTGAGACTCTGCAGCTGGCCCCAAGGCCACAAGGCTGGCTCTACTTGTAGGAGGCACAGTGGGGAATAGAGCATCCAACTTCTGGCTCTAACGGGTGATGCAATGGTTTTAAATGGTACCTTGAGTGACCCCTAAATCTGACCAGTACAAGAAACAAAGATATGTCTGATACCCCAATTTTTGGAAAATAGAAAATTCAGCTATTACAGAAACAGCTCAGTAGAAAATTCTGAGCATGCAGACCAACCTCTGCCTCTAATGCATTTTAAAACAATAATAAAATCCTACATTTTAAAGGGAGCAATTCCACACACACCCCTGTTCCAACTCTACCAAAAAAGTGATCCTGGTAATCTCTTGGGAATGAGCCAGGCTTGGAGACTGGTGGCAAAAAGTATTAAAAAATGTTTAGTTCACCTTAAATGAAATGAAGAAAACAATTCAGTCAAAGTTCAGTTGGAGCTGGCAAATGTTAAACAATTAAAGTGGTGTTAACTGTTAAAAGTCAGTCAGAAAAGATGGGGACTTCAACTGAGATGGATTGCTTCGATAAAGGAAACTATGGGCTTTAGTCTGCAAGACCTGAGCAAGGTTGCTAGTGAAAGGATCTTTTGGAGGTCATTAATTGGAGGTCACTGGATAGTTCAGTGGTTTAGATATCTGGCGGAGTTCAATTCCCCAGTAGATCCTGCCTGTGTGGCCTTGGGAAAGCTGTGCAGTCTCAGGGCACCCTCAGAAGAAGGGAATGACAAACCACTTCTCAATCTAGAAAACCCTGAAAAGGATCGCCATAAGTCAGAATTGGCTTGACGGCACATTATTATTACTATTAACTCATAGAGTTGCCATAAGTCATAAACTACCTGATTGCACGTAACAAGGGGAAAAAATGGTGTTACATTTCTGTTTGTATTAGATGACTGAAACATGTCTGGAAAGAAGTAGAAAAATCTCATCCCAGAAATCAGGGTTCTGGTTCCTGCTAGTGTGTGTGGTCCCCAAAAATGGCTGAAAACGGCAACCCTTCAAACACAGTGGAATTTAATGAAGAGTGAGCATCTATAGGACTGTGTACAGACCTACAGTGGAGAAAAATACTGCTCACCTTGTTTTTAAACCTTCATTTCTACGGTTTATGGAAAAACATTTTTTTTGCTTGAAACAAATACAGACACTTATGTAGGATTAAGACAAACCATGATTCAGCGTGATTCTGCTTGATGCCCTATCCAGGTTTTTAAAATTATATATCTCTCTCACCAGTACAGGCATGGTACACATACATAGAATCTTAGAAAAGTGAAGTTGGAAGGGGCCTACAAGGCCATCAAGTCCAACTCCCTGCTCAGTGCAGTAATACAATCAAAGCTTATATGCCAGGTGATTGTCTAAGTTTTGCTTGAATGCCTCCAGAGTTGGAGCACTCACCAGCTCCTGAGGTAACTGGTTCCACTGTTGTGCTGCTCTAACAGTTAGGAAGTTTTTCCTGGTACTCAACCAAAATCTGGTTTCCTTTAACTTGAGCCCATTGTTGTGTGTCCTGCACTCTGGGATGATCGAGAACAGATTTTGCCCTATGACAGCCTTTCAAGTATTTGAAAAGTGTCATCACATCACCCCTCAGTCTTCTTTTCCCAAGGCTAAATATGCCAAATTCTTTCAGCCTTTCCTCATAAGGCTTGGTTTCCACCACCCCCGATCATCCTCGTCGCCCTCCTCTCAACTTGTTCCAATTTGTTAGCATCCTTCTTGAAGTGTGGTGTCCAGAAGTGGACACAATACTCAAGGTGAAGCCTAACCAGTGCTGAATAGAGGGGGACTAGCACCTTGCGGGATTTGGAAACTATACTTCTATTAATGCAGCCTAAAATAGCATTTGTCTTTTTTGTAGCCACATGACACTGTTGGGTCATATTTAGCTTGTGATCTACAACAATTCCAAGATCCTTGACTGCATGACTATTAAGGAAGTCCACATCTACAACTGACCTACATAGACATCATTTGCTTTTTTGCTTTTGTTTTGTTTACACTCGGCACGTACACCAGATCTACCTTGAAAACTCCAGGGCTAAGTCACAGAACTACATGATAAACTATCATTCATCCTCAGAGGGAACCCAACTTTGAGTGGAAATTTTTAAGCAGATCCTCTTACCATAAAACGAGTAGCTGGACAACTGAAGACTTGCAGTATATCTTAATGGAAGTGCTAAACTGTTATGATGAAAAGTGCAATCCAAATCAAGTGACTTGCATTTTAAAAATTAACCACACTTTGTCTTCATTTGTGCAATTTTTAATAGTTACCACTAACTTCCTTAAATCTGACATGTTACTGCTGTCCTGTAGGACAAAGGTTATTTATTAAAAAGTAAGGCCTCTGCTCAGGGTTCTGTGTCTTCTTCCGGGATGTTTCATAGCAGTAACATGTCAGATTTAAGGAAGTTAGTGGTACAGCCTCCAAGATTCTTCAAGGCGATCCTTGAATGATTCATGAATTAAACCAGATTACATTTATTTTTATAGACACATCTCAGAAGATGACACTCCTTCAGAGATGATTATTACCTACCTGGAAATAGAAAATGGGGCTTTCTATGTATAAATAACACACTTTACAATCCAGTTACTGTCCCTTATCACATCAATTCTCTCTGCAGTCCATTCCCTCATCCCTCTCCTTCATCTGCTGTGTTAGACAGGATCTAGGTGTAGTTTAGAGCAGATGAAGGAACACAACAGGAGATTGGGAACACAGTGGGAATGGGCAGGAGGAGCTGCAAAGCAACGCCATCTAGAAACCTCGGGGAGAGACACACATAAAATGAGAGAGAGAGAGAGAGAGAGAGAGCTTGATTCCAGGAGCAAAAGAAATAAATTCAAACTTTGTTCAAAAGCTTCTCCACCATCTCTCTGTGTCAGCTTTCCCCTACCATTGAACTGTAGCCACAGCTGACCTTTTCATCCAGTTTCTAAACAGGTAACCTTGCTAAAATCAATAGAGCAGACACATAAAAATCAGAGGGCAAAAAGGTCTCACAGGCACTGTTGCTCCTGAGGTCCTCTCTGACCAGTCGCCTCTCTCCTCTGATACTTTATCAGCCTTTTAGATTTTCTCTTTCCTTATTCACAGAAATAACAAACACCAAACTGGCATTCACGGCCTGGCCATGCCTGCATATATCTTGTTCTTTTTCTTTCAGCTTTAGATTCTAGTCTCTGCATCTTCTTGTTTCCCCTTGCAAAGGTCCATGCTTTTCTTACCTGACTGGATCTGTTTCAGGGTATGACCCAGATGCTCTTAAATGTCCAGGCTCAGCGTCTCTTCTCTTGTGCTGTCTGTCCTCCTTGATTCTAGCGTTGAATATGTGCTATCTAAACCAAGGCTGCACATCAGGGTAGCAGCTTCCAGTCAGCTGATTCAGCTGCTTTGGGGTTGTTGTTGCTAAATATAGACTGGTCTGTGCCATTCTGTTTCTGAAGAATTCTAATTTGATAAGTGCTTCATGTTACTGGAAAGGCTGAAAGCAGGGAACTGGGGAGACGAGTCTAATACAATCTCCAGGATATGATCTCCAAAGAGAATCATTTCTCTTTGGCACAGCAAAAGCATTGCATTATGCTTTATACTTTAAATAATTCAATAGGCCCAGGGACTGTATATGTTTCATGCTTGCATCTGTAGGTGGCAGTTAGCAGCATGTTAAACCAAGCTGCAAGCTGCTCTCCCTGCTGATACCGGGATGCGGCAATTTAAAAAATACATGTGGACGTTACAATTAATAGGTGTCCTGTTTTTGGCCTTCAGATGATAGAGAGTGACAAAGTCTCTGTCCCTGGTCCCTCATCTCTAGAAAAGAGGTCTCCAGAAATGCATGCTATCCCCTCAGAGTCTCATGGCTTTTGTTTGGGACAGAGAAGGGAACATTTTCATTTTCTAGACCACTAGGCTACACTGAGCCTCATGGCACAGTGGTTAAAACTGTGCTCACTGCAGCCAAAACTCTGCCCAAGACCTGGGGTTCAAATCCCAGGTAGCCGACTCAAGGTTGACTCAGCCTTCTATCCTTCTGAGGTCGGTAAAATGAGTACCCAGCTTGCTGGGGAGGGGGGCAATGTGTAGCCTGCATAATTAACTTGTAAACTGCCCAGAGAGTGCTTGAAGTGCTATGGGGCGGTATATAAGCAGCACACTTTGCTTTGCCTTGCTTTTACTATGCTGGGATGTTCCAGGAACAGTACTTGAGAAAGATAATTTTACTATTTCTGATATGGAAGACCTTTTTCTGTGTGCAAGATTGTTCACCCGTATAATTTCATTTGGGATTAAGGTGAGGCCCAGGATCTAATTTCTGGGAGGATCCAGCCTCAGCACGTATCTTTGGTGCTTAGGGCCAACCCTGTCATCAGGCAACTGTAGCCAATGCTGAGCGATGGCTGGCTGGCAGACCTCTGTCACACCACCTCTTCTCCACTCAGATGCAGGGAAGGACTCTATCACTTGACAAAGCTGATGTATCTTTCAGCTGCCGGACTGTTTGGCATATTGGCAACAAAACTAAGAGAGAGACACCAGAATTAGGAAACAGATCTTCAAAACCAGAGAGGGGCCTTCAGATGTGGGATTTCCACCCCGCCCCCCTCAGATCGAGCCCTTGTGCCAGTATTTAGTCTCCTCAAACAGCTCTGAGGCACTGGAATGATACCTGTTGTGGGATTGTGTCCACCTGCCTGCCTTGCCTGCTCTTGGTCTGAACTTTTCTAGCCATGTTGGCAGGCCCCTGTAAGCCACCTGTGAAATTTCCTGCAATCCTGTGAGTGAGAATACCTCAGACTGGATTGACCGAGCTCAGGAAAATAAAAATACTGTACTATGCATCCCCAGGTCTCTGGCAGAGAGGAGAGTGAGGTCCGAAAGGAGTGAAAGTAAGGCACAAAGATTGATTTTATTGTATGTGGTGAATTTAAAGTGGAGGCTCTTCTCCTTCTCACTGGCTAAGTCTGGGGGGGCCTGATGCCTTTTAAGACAAGCTTATTACCTGGTTGGTAGGGTTTGATTTAGCTTTTCCAATGGGTCACCTGTGCCCTTTTAGCACCTCAGCTGGTCCAGATTCTAAGCATTAATTTAAACACTCTCACCCACAAACACTGTTAAATCTGTTAAACACTGTTAAATCTTTCCACCCTTGTAGAACTGGAGATTTAGGGCAAACCATGCAGTTACAAGTTGGGCCTGTTTCTTTAGCAAGAAGAAACAAACCTTTCTGTGTAATTAGTCGGGGTGGGGGGGAGTCATCCAACAGCCTTACGGAGACATTATAACATAGTAATATGTTATAGCCCTGGAATTTCATTGCAGAGTTGCTTGCATAGTATTTCACAATTTTTACCAAGGGTCTGAAGCCTACATGGTGGTCCCAGGTTTTGGCCTGAACTCTCCAGGAATGGAAAGCTACTGAACTGGAAATTGTAAGGCATTGTGGATAATAAGATGGTGAGCTCTCCAGGACTGGAGGCATGGGGGGGGGTGGAGGGAGAGGGAGAGCTAAATAACCATCTGTCAGATATGCTTCAACTTGGATCCTGCACTGAGCAGGAGATTGGACTCAATGGTCTACTCTTATGGGATGCTTCCAACTCGATAATTCTATGATTCTCTGGTTAAAATAATGAGCCATGCACAGTTATTCATCACATGTTGCAATACTACTACAACTCAGGCCTGTCTGAAAGATGAAGGGCTGGGGGGGGGGACTGTGAAGGAGGGCTCAATAAAGAGTACTTTTGCCAGCAACCCTCTCTACACCTGGAGCTGACTCTGAAGACATGATGATGCTTGCTGCCATGTGTCTTCAGACCTTACCCCAGCCACAGCCAGTCATTGGGGCAGATACATGTGAAAGTTTACAGGCATATATACCAATATGCTAGGCCTCATGACATGGATCCTGTCAACAAATCTGAGTAATTTCAATAGACCCGATAGAGACAACCTGGCATGTGTGAAAGCTGTGATTAGTTTTCCTGGCCTCTTTTGCTTTGTGGGAAAGCCACTGTGAGGGCCCTTGGTTAGGTCAGATTTATAGCTTTGGACTGGTTTCTTTTAAACCCTCTTTAAATACAATTTGCCAAGTTGAAATGAGCTGTGTCGGTGGACTGGGAAATACTGTATAGGCACTATTCCTTTGGCCCCAGTTAATATGGCTAGTCATGGATCCTCCACCAGCGCAAGTTGAATCATCCTAATGGCATGTTGCCGAAGCCAGTTCAGAACTGTGGTGGAAGTGCTCACTGGAAATACAATACAGTATTGCTCTTACTGCATAATTAAACTTTGTAGAACAGACCTTCTCTGTACATGCATGCATGTGCCTATCTATACTAACTCATTCTTCCCTGCCCCTGCCTCAGATTTGTAGGGAAGTGAAGTCTTAAAATTTCTCCTTTCCCAGTTGTAAACTATATCAGCTCCAAAATAGCTGGACAACTCAGTGATTTAGGCATCTCCTCGTTGGGAGTGCAATTCCCCACTGTTCCTCCTTAAGAGAGGCTGGACTTGATGATCTATTGGGTCCCTTCTAGAAAGGTTGTTGTTCTTCTTGTTGTTAAATCTAGGAGGATGAAATTAGTGCGACGTTTTCCCCTAGTGATTTGAAGACCCGTAGGGAACTGAAGCTGCCATTGCTCAGTTAAAATATGAATGTAAAATGCCCTTGAATTTGGATCTTCCTCAATGCTGATGAATATTGAACTTGCGTGTTTGAATCCAATTTGTCTCCCTCTCTGTTATTGAATTTCAAGATTCGAGAATTGTGAAAAAGAAAATACTGAAGAGATTCTTCCTTTTTGATACTTAATGGAAGTTGCCCTTTCTTTCAATACTTCCAAAACAACATTTATACAAGGATTTTTGTAAGATGCAAATTGGTGTGCATTTAGAGTGCAGTCCTGTCAATTTCTACTCAGAAGCAAATCCCACTGAATTCAGTGGACTCCATTTCCAGGCAAGTGGATATAGAATTACAGCCGTAATAGATCAGAAGCCAGATAATAAGATGACAGCTCTGCTGATGTGCTGTATTGATTTGAATGCAGAAATGAGTAAATAATGCATTGCATCAAGTAAAATGAGGCATCTTCCCTATATAACTCTGATGCTTTCAATTATTGATTGCCTGAAAGCATTTTTAAATGTTCTAGTGTCACATGCATATTTAAAAAGGCACTGCTGTTGTACCCAATATATTCCTTTGATATAATATAAAAGAGGGTATTATTTACCTATGAAGCCACCACTTTTCTTCTGTTTCTTCAATTAGTCGTCAGAATAATAATAATTTTTAAAAGCCCTGAAGCTTTGAAGAATTCCCCACCTTTATAGAGTCTGAAGATAAAGACAGCATTGGTATTTATACCTTTGGGAGTATGTAATAAATCAGCACGGGTAAAAAGGAAAGACAGTAAATAGCAAGGGCAGCGCCTGCTCAAACAAGCAGATAACTAGTTAACAGACCTCGAAATATGAGGTTACCCTTTAACTTTTGACATTCCATAGATTTGCTTCTGTCTCTAAGTAGCAAATGAGGGAAGGAAACATTCCTAAAGAGATCTAACATACCCAGTATGCTGAAGAGAAAACGTGAGCAATAACATTCCTGTTGTGACATGCTTTAGCCCTTTTCTGAATGGTGGTGGTAGTGGTTGGGGAAATCATTTCTAACACATTGTTAGGCAGGCTTAATGCTTATATTCCACCAAGCTCCGTGAGTCTTATTCATTTTATTATTTTTTACGTACCTTCCTTGTCCCCATAAACACACTCAATGGGGCCAGAAGCTAATAAAAATTTAAAAAGAACTCTTAATTAAAATTTTGCACCAAGGCAAATAAATCAAAAACACAAAGAAAATGCAATATCTCACCAGAACTGTGAACTAAGTACAGTAGTTATAAATATGGTAGACAATTAAAGCAGTTATTAAAGCATAACTACATTGCATTGAATTTGTAACTTAACAAGGGATAATTTTGCTCTTTCTGTAGTGTAGATGTAATTTCTGTCTTGTTTCTGAAGCTACACCTTATTAAATGGCAAATGATGCAGTTTGATTTCTATGATGATTTGCTGAGCACATGTTCACTATGGTGGACGATAGATGTGCTAGATAATAGCTGGAATCCAACTGTACATCACAACTAGAATAAGCCCATTCAAACAATGTGGTAACTCCTCCATAAAGTTCTGATTATTCATTGGACCTACTCTTGTTGCAACACATTAGTGGATTTCAACCACTGTAGGTTAAATATTGGAAAACTCAATCCCAATCCCAAAGAAGGGCAGTGCCAAAGAATGCTCTAACTGCCGTACAATTGCACTCAAT